TCTGCAGTAGTTACACGTACTGAAGGCGGCTGCTTTTCGAGGCGGGGTTCTCGTTTGATTTTCGTTGGGCAATAGCAGCGTTGCGCGGATGGACGGCGGTTTGTATTGGGACTCTCACATGAGAATTCCTCAATCTCCAGGCGCGAGACTCTACATTTTTCACAGCAGCTCTGACGGAATGCGGCGCTTTTTCAAATGGGATTCGATGCGCGATTCTCCGGCCGAGATTTTAGTGCTTGGCTTGGCATTCTTTGCATCATTTTCACGACGGAGGGCGGGTCCTTCTCAAAAAGGGAGCCCGTTTTCACCAAGTAGACACCAGCGTTAAGGCGGGCCTGTCCCTCTACAGGAGGAATATTCAAAAATAGCCAACAATAGTACGGGGACATTTTTTGTTATATATATATATATATATATATATAAAAGACCATTTTTTGTTTTAATATATATATATATATAACATATATATATATATTTATACACACATATATAAATATTCAAAAACACCTCTCGTCGAACATCCCCCTGCAGGGGGACGCGCCCGACTTAACACAAGCGGGCAGGAGCCCCCTGTGCAGCACACCTACATCGTAAGGAGAGCGCTGCGCTGGACCGTGTGCACACGGGAGGCCCTGCGGGAGAGCACACCTGAAGAGCACGCGGGGCCACGTCAGGGCACCAGGTAGATGCCAGTTTAGTTTTTTGTTTTTCCTGTTTTTGTTTGTTTGTTGTTTTGTTCCCAACCATCCTGTGGTGTTGGGTCCTCGTTTTGAAGAGACGTCGCCCCGCGTTCCTCCTTCCTCCTCCTTCCTCCTCCTTCCTCCTCCTCCCCTTCCTCCCCCCTCCTCCCCCTCCCACACCGATTCTGGCACACCCCTCACACGTTTCGTGGCCCCCCAGGGAGCTCCACCGAAGGCCCCAGTGGCTGCGCCCGCATGCGGTTCCACCCCCCATTCTGGCACACCCCTCACACGTTTCGTGGCCCCATAGGGAGCTCCACCGAAGGCCCCAGTGGCTGCGCCCGCATGCGGTTCCACCCCCTATTCTGGCACACCCCTCACACGTTTCGTGGCCCCATAGGGAGCTCCACCGAAGGCCCCAGTGGCTGCGCCCGCATGCGGTTCCACCCCCCATTCTGGCACACCCCTCACACGTTTCGTGGCCCCATAGGGAGCTCCACCGAAGGCCCCAGTGGCTGCGCCCGCATGCGGTTCCACCCCCCATTCTGGCACACCCCTCACACGTTTCGTGGCCCCATAGGGAGCTCCACCGAAGGCCCCAGTGGCTGCGCCCGCATGCGGTTCCACCCCCCATTCTGGCACACCCCTCACACGTTTCGTGGCCCCATAGGGAGCTCCACCGAAGGCCCCAGTGGCTGCGCCCGCATGCGGTTCCACCCCCCATTCTGGCACACCCCTCACACGTTTCGTGGCCCCATAGGGAGCTCCACCGAAGGCCCCAGTGGCTGCGCCGCATGCGGTTCCACCCCCCATTCTGGCACACCCCTCACACGTTTCGTGGCCCCATAGGGAGCTCCACCGAAGGCCCCAGTGGCTGCGCCCGCATGCGGTTCCACCCCCCCATTCTGGCACACCCCTCACACGTTTCGTGGCCCCATAGGGAGCTCCACCGAAGGCCCCAGTGGCTGCGCCCGCATGCGGTTCCACCCCCCCATTCTGGCACACCCCTCACACGTTTCGTGGCCCCTAGGGAGCTCCACCGAAGGCCCCAGTGGCTGCGCCCGCATGCGGTTCCACCCCCGTTCTGGCACACCCCTCACACGTTTCGTGGCCCCATAGGGAGCTCCACCGAAGGCCCCAGTGGCTGCGCCCGCATGCGGTTCCACCCCCCCATTCTGGCACATCCTACACCCTCACCACCGCGCCACCCCAACCCAAACCCTCTTCACACCCGCGCCTCTCTGATGATGCGACCCAACTACATCACACACACACACCCACATAAGGCCCCATGGCTGCGCGACCCGTCATGGCGTTCCACCCCCAATTCTGTGCCACCAAGCACCAAAACAAACACACCAGGGGTAAAGACTACCTCCTCACACGGTTTCGTGCCCCATAGGGAGCTAACGCGCACGCTCACACACACACACATATAAGAGCTTAGCGCTCGCATGCGGTTCCACCCCCCATTTCGGCACACCCCTCACACGTATTTTGGGTGGCCCCATGGGGAGCTCCACCGAACGCCCCAGTGGCTGCGCCCGCATGTGGTTCCCCCCTCCCCCATTTCGGCACACCCCTCACACGGTTCGTGGCCCCATAGGGAGCTCCACCGAAGGCCCCAGTGGCTGCGTTCGCATGCGGTTCCACTCTTTTTTTTCGGCACGCCCTTCACACGCCTCGTGGCCCCATAAGGGGGCTCCACCGAACGCTCCAGTGGCTGCGCTCGCATGCGGTTCCACTCGCCATTTCGGCACACCCCTCACACGTTTCGTGGCCCCATAGGGAGCTCCACCGAAGGTCCCAGTGGCTGCGCCCGCATGCGGTTCCACCCCCCCATTC